TGAGCTCAGCGCTGAGCTGAGGAAGTGAAACCTGGCTCTGTCCCCAGGTGCCAGGGGAGGGTGTGGGCGGGCCGCCGTCCCCTCCTGGCTGGTGCCCGCTGTCCCCTCCCGTGTGGACACGCGCCGCCTGGCGGCTTCTTGGGAAGTTCCTCCCGCCGCGCTGGGGGCTGTCGGCGAGGACTCCCCGGAGAACCGCTCGGCTGTGGTGTGCACGCCTGTTGTTATGCCTCGTAATTAAAACATGGATTGGCCTTCGAGGGGGAATCTCATTCCTTCAATCTAAGAACCGCGGGTATTGGCACCGAGACGCCAGTGTGCGGGCGCAGACCGGAGCACAGCTGCTCCTGGGGGCGCTGTGAGTCAGGCTGGGTAATTGAGGGGTGAGTGAAGCCCGCGGTGGGCGAGGGCCCAGGCGCTGAGCATCTGCGTGCAGCCGAGAGGCCTCGCTCGCTGACTCAGCCCCGCCAGACGGCCTCTCGCAGCCACGTCTGAGCGTGTCCGCTTGCCATCAGGCCGTAGCGGCTCTGTCCCTGTCCTGTCCCCATTGTACGGATGCGAAAAGGCTGTTTGCCCAAGGGCGTTCAAGGGCACTGTGGAGGGGGGGCGGGCCTGGACACGGGAAGCCTGGCGGTGGCCCTGGGAGGTGAGGCAGCCCCGCATTTCGCCCCCTGGCGGTCCCGGCCCTGACGCTCTCTCTCCCCCCCAGACCATCATGGAGCAGTTCAACCCCAGCCTGCGCAACTTCATCGCCATGGGCAAGAACTACGAGAAGGCGCTGGCAGGTAAGGCAGGCGGGCGGTGCCCGCGGCTGTGACGAGGACGCGAGTCCCGGTCCTGACTGGGTCCGTGGCGCTAGGACAGGCCCGTGAGGTCTGTCTGGGAGCCAGAGGATGGGGCTCAGATGAGGGGGTGCGCCCCCGCCCCCCCAAGCCTGCTTCCGGCCCTTTGATGTGAGACGGGCTTTCCCTCCGGGCCTTCCCGCCCTACCTGGGCCCGAGGCTCCCAGGGGCCTGTGCGGAGGGGGCC